ACGGGATTGGCATATTTATTCAGACATTTTTTCCTATAACGACGTAACCTGCGGGAATAGTCCCATCAAAAAGGATCAATCCATCAAGTGCATCAAAGGGCAACCTGCGCGAAGCCAATAGAAAGCAAAAAAGAGCAAAAAAAAAGCAGAAAATAAAACTTTCGTGGTTCTCCTGTCAGCTTTTGGCTAAGCTAATGCACTGGTTTTTCAGAAGCTGTTAACCGTTTTGCTTTAGGTGACAGTTACGCAGCCAATTTCGCCCAGTCAAGTATTGATCTTGTAACCTTGTTATTGAAACGCTATTTCTCTGCCCACTGAGCCATGCTCATTCACATACAACTGTTTTGACAGCAGAATACTGGTGATGACTAGAAATTACCTTTCTTGCCCCGCAGTATCCCAAAGCTGGAGGGCGATTACACGGTCACCAACGTTCATTGTTTTCACCGTGAAATCCACCCCAATGGTGGCATTGAATAACGGCTTGAAACGATTGTAACAAAACCTGGAAAACAGACAAGCAAAAAATATCAGCTCTAGAACAAGTAAACATGTAAATAATGAAATCAATAAACAAGTCAAATAATTGATTAAGTATGATCAACATTCAAAGGCAACGATCGTAATGAATTGATGCCGATCAAGTTGAGAACAGGATGCGAAGCGGTGCATCGTTGCAAAGATAGGGCCACAAGGACCCTTAAAAACCCAAGGAAAGAAGCTCTCCTCTCAGTTGGAGTTCGGCACGGGTTCAAGGAATGGACGAGTTTAGCGCTTAGTCGGTCATTTGGGTAAAGCTAAAGTGGTATCAAGCCAGCGGCCAGTTTCGTGTAAGTGGTAGCACAATTGCCCGAAAAGCAGGGTATCTGGGTACGAATCCCGGCTGGGGCAAAAGGAAGCCTTTGTAGTTAGAAACAGACAACTTACAAAAGATAACAATGAAAATAAAGACCTACCGGTGCAAAAAACATGTCTTTCCAACTGCTGAATCACCCACGAATACCACTTTGAATATTCGATCTGGGGTACGCAAATCCTGAACTAAACTTCTTCAAGGCATCATCCAACGTTTTATAAGACGCAACCTACAGGTTCTGATTTCTTCCGTTTTTCAATCTCCCTCTCGGCTTCACTTAATTCCTGAAAAAGTCTCGTTAATCGATTTCCTTGTTACGATAGTTCCCTAGGTCATATCGTGAGTACAATGAAGCAAAAGTCAATCAAAAAGAATCGTCGATGTGTTTGCCCAACGTTTCAGGGATGCGCCATGCACCTCCAACCCACTTGAAATGTTGGGTATTGAAAGCATTTTCTCGCCTGCAGGAGTTTTACGAGTCTTACGCACTGCCCCTGAACTCAGTTTACAGCTTCAGGTCAAACAGCAAATGTATGAAAAAAATTTTCGACCTGGGCGAAAATTGCGTAGGGTTATGCATGAGTGGAGCAGTGCTATTGGAAGACAGCGGAGTCCATCACGTTCCAGCGTGTTACACTTGACCTCAGCGCGTTAAGTCTACGGAAATTTTCTTTGTTTAGGTGACACCTCCGTCTTAGCCTCATCGCCGTGGGGGGGGGAATTTCTCCCGACCGGTCTTATAATCGGCTAAGAAAAATTTTCCTCCTACTGTCTTTTGGAAAGCAGCCTATTTAGGCTTTCTATTGGCAACCTTGAGATCAAGGGCGACAATTTAGCGCGAATGGAACCGCTTCATTCTTCTTCTTCTCCCTAGCGTTAGTCCCGCGCAGTCGCAGGGTCCGCTGTTTTTGTCAGCCGTCGCCACTTTGTTCTATCCAGGGCATCTTCCTGCTGTGACCCCCACCTCAGTGAGGTCCTTCTTGATGACGTCTCTCCACCTCTTCTTTGGGGCTCCTCGCGGCCGCTTGCCTTGTGCTTCGAAGTCCATTGCTGTTCTTATCGGATGATCCTGTGGCCTCCTCAGCACGGATGCCCATACCTCTTATAACTTCTGAACCCGGATTTCACCATGCTATTCGTCACTCCTTATCGCAGTGGTGCGCTGGATTTGCCCCTGTCTAGCACAAAAAATGAATTCGTTATCCGTACATCGACAGGACCCTACACTGATTACTGTGTAGGCCTATCGCTTTCCAACGCGGCTACTACGACATTAAGTCGAAGTTGAGTGCATGGCGCATCCCAAGACATAAGCACGCGTTCGAAAATCAACAAAGGGCTGAATGGTGGACAAGAAATTGGAAAAAAAGTAAAGTGTAATAATCAAATAAAAATCACAAAATCTCATGAAAATAAGATAATGTAAACCAATCCAAAACAAATTATCACAATGAAATCACACATCAGCTAACGATTGTGGTGAACTGATCCGTGGCACCGGCGACATGCCGCTGTACACATCCATTTCCATCGGACGAAATTGAGGTCGCTAGAAACAAGTACGGTTTTTCTCCTGCATTATTTTACTATTAACATTGATTTCTACTTTCGCACAGAATACGTCCATTGTGGTGTGGTGGTGAGTGGCGCCATTTGCAACGGCACGGTCAGGGTCCAATCCCAGATCAAAATCCGCCAAAAAATGTAGCAGGCATGCCAGTTTCCCAGAATAGGACGGCGGGCCCTAAACTGCTTCGGACAACGACTCAAGTTTTACTTAGACCCACATTGTATCCAAGGTCAAATGTATAGTTACAAAGCGGGGTCAAGGATTAATGGGATGTCGAATGAAATTCGGATACGTGGCCCGCATCTCAGGAGAGGTAATGAAATAAAGCGGCGCAAATGCCATCTCTATCACCTTCGTTATACAAATTGAATTACCGTACAACAGAAAGGAAACATATAAATCTGCCTGTTGAGCCAAGGAGCGCTTGTGGATCATTGAAATCCATAGCTTGGTCTTTTTTTCCTATTTCAAATTGGATTTACTTACCATTCCCTATTCTTTTATTTTTTGCACAAAAAGCGGCCTCCTTACACGACTGTTCATAATCCAGTCTCTCACAACATTAGTTTATAATTGAGATAATGCTTCAGCCTCGGGGGTGTAACGTTTTGCTTTATACAATGTTGGGGTCAACAACAAGGGGTATTTGTCAAAGATGCGCAATCATCAAGCATCGTTTACCACCTTTAACCACCTTTGGAAGCCACGCTGCAAAGCCCATATGTGGGCTGCCAGAGTCCGTCGACCGCGTAGGACCTTTCAGCTCACATGTCGGAAACGAATGCCAAGTTTTTCTCTTGCTTTCTTTTCCGTTGCATTCGATAAGGATTTTTCTGCATCACCAGTAGAAATTTTCTCCTTAGTTTATGCTAAAAAATTTCTTACATTCTAAAAAATCTTCACTGAAGTTCCCACGTCGCCGACAAATGTGAAACAGCTCGGTCTCGCAACAGTGGTTAGTGAACTCATGAATATTTTACAGACATATTGGAAATTTCTCAGGAAGAGTTGCGTGAGAGAGACGGCGGCGCTCAAGGAGTAGGGGAGGGGAACAAATTTGCCGATCCTTTCTACCGTTGTCGAGTGAGGGTCGGAACCGCAAACATTTAAGCGGCTACAGGGATCAGAATGGGAATGAACGCTGAATAGATTACAACTTGGCAATCTGGACTTCGCTTAAGAAACCCCCCCCCCCCCCGAGCCGCTGCGCCAATCGCATGAACGACTATAGCAATTTCTGGGGAAGCGAAAATTAGACGTAATAAAGGACGAAACCGCTACCTTGATTATAACTGGATGCTCGTAGATTGTCTGAAGATCCTGCCTTGGTCGATTTTCTTGCTCGGCTAACTGTTGTCTGAAACAAGTCATGAATTTCTGAGGAAACCTGCTCTAGAAAGTTCCGGAACAAGTCAGTAATTGGGCTAGCCAATATTCCGAATTTCGACATAATAAGCCAAAACACTTAGGTGCACTTGATCGCTAGAGCTCATACTGTTTCATGCATTCATGGCCTAACGACCTGGAGTGTCTTAAGGGATGCGTGCTTGGTGCGACTACGAACATGGTATTCTATTTAAACGTCAGTTACGTCCCACTAATAAAATGACGAAGTCAGAATGGTTCCTTATAAATAACAAGCTCTTATTATGATAGCGAGAGAACTATCTGAAGACATTTCTATTGTTACAATGATCCGAAGCAACAAATAAAGAGTTATGGAAGAAAATGGGGAGGATAATGGAAAAAGACCAAAGTGGAAGAGTGGGAAGATTACCTAAAAACGTCAAGTGCATCGCGTGCTAGAAAACCATCGGAAAGTTACAGGAAATTGAGGAGAAAACTTCCCAACCGGAATTAATTTTTTTTTGTCTCTAAAATACTGTACAAGCTAAAAACGGTGGGGTATGATTAGTTCAGCCGCAGCTTGTTTTGCTCGTGAAACAACAAAAAGAATGTAACGAATAATAGTAAGGGAAAAGAAGGGAAAGTACTGAAAATAGAGAAATTGAGTGTTTTTTTTTGTGGAGATACAGTGCAACGAAGAGGGCTCTAGAAGACATTGGGCACCCCGAGGCGAGAAAGCACAGGGGCAGGCGAGACGCAGACACTCGTCCGCGTAAGTCGTTGTATGATGATGACAAATAGTCGCAGGACAGCAGCCAAATGAACGAGGCCTAGCACGCTTCGGCTCCTTTCAACTTCCTTCAGAGCCTGTGGCATGATCGATCCTTGAAAGCAGCTCGCAAAGGGTAAGTCGATCCGGTGCGGTGTCAAAGAAATACATTTTACTGTGTTGTTGATGCAGATCATTCCAAACAGCCTCATCTTCCGAGTAAGTGGTGGCCATCTGTTCGAGTAGTTATAAACAGAACGGTCTTGCTACACATAATACGATAAACGATAACTGACGCCGTCAGTGGATATTACAAACTATTCGCCGCGCGGTTTCCAAATATATTGGTTGAAAACCGGTGTGCATGCTTCGCTCTCAAATATACTACAGAGCGTTAAAAAACGACACAGCAGATTTGCAGGAAGTCTTTGAAAGGCTCAAACAGAAATGTGATGCAGAATGAATGTATGAATGGTGGACGATTCAGCTTGCGTCTTTTGCTCGTGAATGAAAAAAGACAAAAAAGAAAGAAAAAAGGCGAAGAGAAATGGTGCAAGAAAAAGAAGTAATCGATCGATCAGCCTGAAGGACCACCGTGCAGGCCGGTAATTGAGAAAAGACTGAAAAAGTGGAGATAGCTTGCAACCATCGTTGAAGAACGTTTCCCAGCTAAATGAAGCCTGGAATTCGATATAATTGCCTCACTTCCAAAGAAAAGAGAAGCCGGCGGACGGATGCCCTTCGCCGGCTCGCGCTGAAATAGGCTGGCTCAGTGGAAATGGCCCACACAAATTGTCCGTCGTCAGCAACATAAATGGACACACAGGCTGCATTAAATCGAGCTAAATGCGAAAATTTTGCATGGAATAACCGTTGATGTTCGGAAGCTGGGCAAAGAGCTCAAGCTGCTTCACCCTGGCTCTTGACCCTCTCGGTTAGACACCAGACGACAGAGTAAGGCGCAGTGAAAGTGAAGGTGACATTTGATACCGCTAAAAAAACTCGTACTCAGTCTATGTGAGGAGATGAGACACGGGATTAACACGGGCAAATTAAACGGCTTAACGAACCAAAGAGGGATATCCAAAAACGGTGACAGCAGTTTCGAAAGTGAGCGAAGGAGGCTATTTGTGGGAAACCACGCCCACTTTGTTGCCTTCAGGTAGGTGGTGCCTTCATGGTCGCGCCCAAAAACTCTTGGTTTTGCTTGAAAATACGCATATATTACATTTCCTTTGCAAGCTAAAATATTCCGCGCTATTTTACACAGATGTAAATCAAATCTCCGCCTTCCAATCTTCCAGCTCGCATTAATACGCGTTTTTTTTCTTGTGAAGCACTTTCATTGGGCACAAGCGAACAGCCAGAGGTCCATTCATCGCCTTGCTCGCATTCCCATGAAAATGCCAATTTCAGGCTCTTCCATCCAGTAAAAGCTACGCCCAGAACAATCAAGGATTCCCACTATGAAAAAAGTGAAGTGATAGAGCGATTGGTCTGGATTAGCCCCCCCCCCCACCTCATGAGGTGCCAGTCAATTCAGATCCACTCAAAATTATGTTTGAGGGGGATTTGCCCTGTACAACCACGTGTAGAAGTCATTGTTTTTCCAGAATAGCCTTATGTCAACTGGTCGAAAATTTCATCTCAAGGTTACCACCCGGACTCGTTGTTGAGGGGGGGGGGGGGGTGAGGGGGCTACGATTGGATACAGCCTATTATAATTAGGTAGAGGTGGTTAGTGGAATCGGGATAATGAAGAAAAAAACATGAGAAATGGCCCAGAACCCGAAAAAATGACCCCTTCCTTGCCCGTTGATTTCCGCATTGATGCGACTCTCATCGGTGCTGCCCTCTTCAACGCTAACGCTCTCTCTGCTGAACAACTAGAGAACCGCAACGATCGATTAGCCAACCGATGGGCCTTCCGCGCCGATAGCGCCACAGTGAGAGTCAGGCCGCCGGGGCATGTTCCTTTCGGGGAATTGCGTGTCGCTTCACACTCTTGAGGGGTCCGCCTGTCTTTCCAATAGGTAAGTTTCCCTTCCTTCGACCTTCGGCCTTAACGTGGAATCCTCCCTCAGATGATTAGCTGGATCTTACCACAAGGTCGATCTGAGGACGTGTGTGATGCTATCCAGAGAGGGAATGCTCCTGGTGAGCGGTGCCATTTGCCGCTACAAAATCTCCACCCACATGACCATCTGAGCTCCCAACATCACCTCCTCTTAGCCAACATCACCTGGATCATTATGCATGGATCATCAAATAATTATGGCATCGAAGTAGCATCGACGTTCATCGGCCTCACAGCATACTCCCACAGAATTAATGCTGCTCATGCATACCAGCATTATCATTTCAGCGGGTTTTCCTACCCCCTATGCTTCAGCTTCGATACTGGTAAACAAATCACTTAAGCCAATGACAGTAATCCATGCTCAATCTGGAAAAACAGTTCGTTATCCGTACCAGCATTTGGACAAAATTGAGCGGAAATTCTCGCTAGTTATGAAGTCCAGAGAGTTCCGCTGCTGATCACGCGATGCGGCTAACGGTCATGACTAAAAGATTCCAATCCGGGATCTCAATTTCGGAAAAGAACTTCATCTTAGCTCGCTCTTGAACGCAAACGCGAAGAATGCCACGTCAGTTCGGACAGATGCAGGGTTGGGGCTAGGGTTAGGGCTACCGAAGAGACTGCCACGTCTGTTTAGCTAATGGGACCAGGGCTGGACAACTTGGAAAGGTCAGAAATGCGTGCGGCTGCGAAGCGGTAATAGCCTCAATAGAGAAGGATATGCCCTAGGTGCGAAAAGAGACAACAAGGACAGGCAGCAGAACGCACCTAGATAGCGTTTTCCTCAGTGCGCTACGGCGTTCATACTCTGCGGCAAACGCGATCGCATTCAGGGGCTGAATCGCGTCTCGCTAGCTCTGCAATGCGCACCGCAAAGCAAGACCCGCACTGGATTTTCGCTGAGTGTTGTTGATTTTGAGATTTTGGGATCTTCCACGGAGAGCTCAATAGAAATTAAAAGAAACATGTAGGTAGAACAAGTCGCGTCAACTGGCACGGCGCACTTTGAACAACATAGCCCAGTATGAACTGTGAGAGTTGTCTTACGGCGCGGTGCAGAGCTAGCGCCAAACAAGATCATGCTTGCTGCAAGGTATTTGAACCCTGCCTTCGAAACTCGTGTAGGAAAAAAAAAAAAAAATAATTTTTGCTTCAATCGCACAATTGTGGAATGTTGACCAGAACAGTGCCGTTTTGCATGCTTGCAAGCTCCTCACGAAAAGGTCGCGGAGGTGTTTGTCGTTGACCGACAAATTCGCTCGTCTTCCGCAGGAACGCCCACTTATAAGCCATTGCCCCTATGCAAGGCAGCTAAGGGAGCTGGCGGTATTTTAAGCTTAATTGAAGTTTACTACAATGACCATGAGCAAGGACATCTAAATAATACAACGTGATTACAAACATTTGAGCCTGATGCGGATGAATTGTTTATTATTTATTATTTAATTTCTATGTGCCGCTTAAGGTTGCGATACATTAAGTCATTTCTCATAGGAATCGGAAAAAATAATTCATAAGAAAGTATTTAGGAAATTCAAGGTCATATAAATCATACAGAAGGAAAAACCCTTTCTCCTTGATTTCCAGAGTTAGCCCTGTTTTTTACCTTAGCAGTGTAGCGGCGCGATATTTTCGAGCGCCATTTCGAGATTCTTACCAGAATAGTTCTTAAGAGAGATATTGATCATTAATTCCAAAACACCCACTTCAATTCCTCCGTGTAAGGATCGTGGTAGGGTGTCCGTTCGAGGGACTCCATTTCAGATGCCAAAACTCATGCGTTTTTCGGTTTAGTTGCTGAGGGATGTGTAGTCGGCCAGAGTACATCTGCTAAACAGAAATTCGGTCGATAACGGGTTTGTGGTGGGACCAGTATGGCACCAAACGCCTTGTAGAGATTGCTGTACATCCAATAGGACGTAAGCAAACCAGCCCTTTTGGCACATCGGCTGGGACCGTATGCTGAATGTTGGGGAGGGGATGGGGTCCCCAACGGTCGACGGTTTACTTCAACTCGGTTGGTACGATAGGAGAGTACTGACGCAAGTGGTGCAGCTGGTCCAGTAGCTTCGCCAGAAGGACCGGTCTGCTCACCCTTGGACTAAGCCTAGGAGAGGGGACGGACCCGTCCTCTCTTTAAGGCTTAGTTCTAAGGTAAGCGCCAAATTGTGGCGGTTCTAAGGACCGCGTTGAAGTTGTCCGTCCACCGTCGGGGACACCATCCCCTCCCCAACATTCAGCATACGGTCCCAGCCGATGTGCCAAAAGGGCTGGTTTGCTTACGTCGCTAAATAAGGCTATAGGCCTTCCAGATGGCACTGGCAACCGTCAGCTTGATCACTGGACTACCTATTTCTATAGATCATCAGAAAACTCGTCCGAAAAATCAGAGTTTGAGTGTGAACTATCAATCTACGTTTGAAACGGCAGAAAGCTCCAAAAGCGCTGAGAGCACTTTATGGAAGTTTTGTCCACCTCTGGGGATCTCTAAACTTACAGTAACTGCAAATTAGCTTGAACAAAGGCAAATTAACTGCAGCTCATAGAAAGCAATGCGTACCATAAATTCTCGACTGCTTATTTGACAGATTTCGTCATAAAGCTGAGAGGAACGGAGGGAAAGCAAAGAAAACAGCGACCCACTTGTCACATAGACCTCGTTCTTTTAGCAATTTGGTGAAAATGAAATGAAATATGCCATTGGAAACGAAACACCCGAACCCGTCGACGGAATCGGATCAAGTTGGAGTGCAGAAAGAGTGTAGGGTTACCTTCAAATTATCGAAACTTGGCGGAGCGGGGGGGGGGGGTGGCGGGAGTGAAAGCTTTTTCATGATGTTCATGAAGAATTACGTGGGAGGGATCTATGAGAAAGAAACCAGCGATAGAAGTCCAAAATTTTCTCCCAGTTTGAGGTTTTGATTAGAAAGCCCGGATTCACTAGGTTCTCCAGCGGAGCTCAAAGTAGGTCAGCTGCATGCTGGGAAAATCTGGCTGAGACGTCCTCACGCTCCCCGGCAGGGTCAACCCTACGTTGTTACGAG